AACAGCGGGGACCCCCTTGGCCGGCTCCTTCCGGGAACAGCGGGGACCCCCTTGGCCGGCTCCTTCGGGGAACAGCGGGGCCCACCTGGCCGGCTCCTCACTCTCTCGGCTCTGCCCTCTCCCCTCAGCCGTGGGAACTACTTTGCCATTCCCGAAGGTGATGTGCTGTTGCGGCTCTATTTGCCTTTGCACAGACAACGCCTTTTGCCGGGGCTGTGCCTTCTGCAGCGCTCTGCCTAACTCACCCCTCCGGGAGTGAGGCCCCCGGCAGCATGTGGCACTCAGTTCCTCAAGCAAGCTTTGCAAGGCGGGACTAGGTGGTCTTCTTACTCCTCCCTCCCCCTCAGGGTCCTCTTTGAGGTCTGAGTCTCTCACCTGGGTTTCCTCAGCATATGGCCAATGCCAGGCGCAAAGCAGTATGGGTGAGAAGCAGGCTGGGAACTGGTGTCACACGATCGGGTGTGCCTCACAAACCTCCCTCTCAGCCGCCCACACGCTGGCACCTTTACCTGAGACCAGCTGCTTCTTCCACCCTAGGCTATCACCTGTCGCCCCAACCCCAAGAGACGGAGACCACCACCTAACTTGTCAGCGGAAGGAGTTCAGGTGGTACCTGAGCTTGTCCGCGATGAAGATGACCCTCCTTTCCAGAAGCAGGGAGGCAAAAACACAGAGCAGGTGGCGGACGCTCAGAGAGGAGAAGAGAGACTCGAAGTCCACGTGCTCAAGCCGAGAGTCCAGTGGGCGGCACAGTTCAATCACCTGCAGGGGAAGGGGATGAGCATGAGGGGGCCTGGGCCCTCAGCATGGGGCCCTGATGGCCACCAAAGGGGAAAGAGAAAGTAAAAAAGAAGGCAACAACAGCACTGGGAAAGAGAAAGGCTCCCCTGGGCCTGAAGGACGGAGGAGAGGAGCGAGGGGAGCGAGAGGACGGTGACAGCCCCACCCCCACGGCCCCCGGGACGGCACCTCTGTCCCCAGAGCATCCATGACCTGCGGGGTGGAAACACAAGCAGCCAGTCTAGCAGGTGGAGCAGCGCTCTGAGGCGCCTCTTCTGGAAGGTGGCTGCTAACAAGCCCACTGCAGTCACCCCAGGTCTGCAGCTTGTGCGCACAGTGGGAATGTCGCCAGCCCCCCCTTCGGTATGCTCCTGAGCTGCCGCAGCGGCTCCCCGCTTTGGCTAGTGGGCGCCTTTTGCAGGAGCGGAGACTGCACTGCCCAGTGCTGCCCACAGCCACCAGCATCTGGCAAGGGAGGGGTGGGGGACTGCTGCGCTCTGCGCTGGGAAACTCGTTGCTCTGGAATGGCCCGGAATGCTCCGGAATGGCCCGGCCGGCTGCACCCCAGCCTCTTTCCTGTAGCAACTCAAGGCTAACTAGGACTTTCCTTCTCACGCTCATGTTGTCACAGAAAGGGATGGGAAGGATGGAGACAAACTCCTCCATCAAATCCAGCCAGGCCGAGGAAAGCCTTCAGTGTCTAGAACGAATGGAAAGCAGAACCTGATCTTCCCTGAAGAGCCTGTTTTACTTCACGAAGTCAAAGAGGCAGACAAAAACACACGTGCGCTTGACTACATCCTGTGTGGTGCTGAGCAAATGAGAGAAGAAAGTGTCCCGGGCGGGCCCCCAACCTGTGAGGCCAATGCAGTGCACAGAGAACCATGTGATGCCAGGGCCTGGTTCTTGGGTGGTTCTCTGGGACCGGGTCCTGTGCTGGGGGGCTGGACTTGGGGTGGGATTTATGATGGTTGGGGGGCAAGAGGAATTCACTGGTCAGCCCATCGGAAGCCAGCCCCTGGGGCCTGGGGTGTCTGGGCCACTCCGTCCCATAGGAGAGGAGAAGACTCTTACCTCGGTTCCTGACCCTGGCAAGAAGTTCTTGACCATGATGGTTTTGCCCAGGGCTGGGAAGGGGGCTTCCATGACACTCCTCATGAGGGGCTGGACCAGGGCAGGGGAGATGCCTCTCCGTTTCTCCACCTCATCCAAGATCTGCAAGGTCAGAAAAACAGTCTGCTATCCTGGGCCAGGGCAATAGCTGTACCTCTGTTCCAGGTGCGGTGGGCCTGCTGCCCTGTGGGCCTGGGGCTGGGAGAACCGTGGGGGCCCTGCTGCCCTCATCAGGCTGGACTCAGAGGCTCCCACTGTAGGTGTTATTGCCCCAACCCTTCTCCCCTCTATAACCCAGTCCCTTGGCCAAGTGACTGTAGTTCTCCTGCTAAAGGGTGAAGTACAGTTTCTTGCCCCTTGACCGTAGTGACATGACTTTTGGGGAATAAAATGAAGCGACATCACCCCAATGGGATAAAAATTGGTTCTTGGGGATGATGATGAAAAAACTTAGCTGTTGTTATGGTTTGTAGCCCTTTAAGAGGCCACAGTACATTGGCAGATACATGGTATATCTGGAGATTTAAACTCTCTGGGGGATAACCATCAAGGCATGCAAACCTAAACCACATACGACACCACCTCACGCCACTAAGATGGTCTACAGTAAAAAGACAAACAACGACAGGTGTTAGCAAGGATGTAGAGTCTGGAACCCTTAAACGCTGCTGGTGGGAATGTCAAATAGTGAATCCCTTTTAGAAAACGGTCTGCCAATTTCTCAAAACGTAGAGGTGACATACAGAGTGACCCTAAGACTCAGCATTCAATTCCTAATTACCCAAGAAAAGTGAAAACATGTTCATGCAAAGACTAGTTATTAATGTTCATAGCAGCATTTTTACTAGTCAAAAAAACAGAAACAGCTGAATGTCCACCAACTGGTCTATTGATGACCAGCTGTGATAGCCATGCAGTGGATTATTATTTAGCTTGGTCACTGGGCTGGTCACTGAGCATGATATTCTTAAAGTGCATCCATGTTTTATCTCCTACACCACTGACTGGCGTGCAAATTAGTCCGACCACTATGGAAAGCTGTGTGGAGGACCCTCAAATTATTACAAATGGGTCTACCATGTGACCCAACAATTCCACTCCTAGGAATCTACCCAAAGGACACAAAAACATTAATTTGAAAGGAAACTTGTACCATATTGCAGCACTATTTACATTAACCAAGATATGGAAACACCCCAACTGCACAAAAACATGATTAAATCAAGATGATGTGGCCGGCCTATATACACAATGGAGTACCACTCAGTGATCAAAACAAGATGAACTCATGCTGTTTGTAGCAACGTGGATGAGCTGGGAGGGATTATGCTTATTATGAAATAAGTCGGAAGGAAAAGGAACAATATTGAATGATTTCACTTATGGGAGAAATACAGAGAAAGCAAACAAGGGTCAGAAAAAAAAAAGACAAAACTAGCAGGTTAACTATAAATCTGAGACATTCAGGGGAGGGGAGAGAGAAGGGTCAAAACAGTGACGAGCACAAGAGACATGGTGATGATATGGCAATTCCTGTCTTGACAGATTGACCTACTTTGCCAAAAAGAGCAGCATGCACAGATACATACATAGGAATACATATCCATCTCTCCATCCATCCATCCAGGTGGCCTTTTTGTCCAGTAAGTGTTAATATGACAAAAGACAATGCTTAGAAGGATAGTAAAATACATGGAAAATTCTGGGAAGACCCTCTGCCCCTCCCATGAAGACACTGTCTCTCTTCTCCCACTTCCTGTGTTCTGACGTTTATCAACTCTTATCTCCTGTCCCAAAGATGGAGGATAGAGGTAGGGGGTGGGAGAGAAGGCAGGCAGGAAGACCGCAGAAGTACTGTGTCCTGGGCCCTCCCTGTTGGTGCACTGGGTTAAGTCTCAACACCACGAAGCTCTCCGCAGCCACTGCAGCAGCTCCATCTCTGGCCAGGAAGCTGAGCCACAGGGTGCTGCAGACCTCTCCTGTCTTGCCTGATGCTCCCCTCGGCAGTGGATTTTAAGATGTGCCTGTTCTGCTCCCCACCCTGTTTCTGGGGAATCCCCTCATCCCCCCAACCTCTGGCCTATACCCCAGTTCTTGTGTGCATAAATAAATAAATTATATATAAAACACTGTGTCCTCCTGGGCCCTTGCCTTGCCCCACCTCACTCCCTTCTTGGGGCCCAGCTCCTCACCTTTGAAAAGAGGCTGAAGCACCCCAGGCGGCTCACAATGCAGTAGACCTCAGGGAGACGTTTCCCCTTGCCACCAGGCTTTTGGGAGTGAAACAAAGGACATGTGAGCATCACCACCTCAGGGAGGAAAGACCCACTGGTGCCTGAGGTGTTCTGGCTGCCAGGTGTTTCCACATACTGGTGCTCTGGAAAGCCTGTTAGGTAAGCAGCGGCTGACCCCCCACTTATGGCTGGGTAACGCTTCTGTCACGCAGCATATATATTTAAATTCCTATTAATTTTTATGTTCATTTTCCTATTTTGTTAATTTTTGCACAGTATTTGATTTCTCCCCTCAGGCGCAGTCCCCACCCTCGTACCTGTGAGCCATCACCACAGTCCCTTGTGCTCTTCCCTCCCCTATCCTGACCCTCCCCACCCCACCCCACCAGCCCATGTCTCAGCTTTGCCAGCTTTGTCTTTTTCCTGACTCTGTGTTTGACTTCTCTATATTCTATATGTAAGTGAAACCATCCGGTAGTTATCTTTTCCTTCTGACTTACTCTGCTGAGCGTATATCTTTTTATTTTGCAGACAGCACCAGATGAAGCGTGTTGTGCACACAGTAGGTGCTCAACATCGCCCATGGAGCATGAAGCAAGGAAGCTTTTTCATCCAGACCACAGGAGTGCTGTCTGAGGAATTACCTGAATGCCACGTGGTCATTATAATGATAGTTCCAAAGGAAAAATCTGTATTCATATTTCAATTTAAAGTAATTTTATCAGTGAAAATCGTTATCCTATTTAACTTTTACAATTAGTATCCATACTTTCCATTCATTAACTTATCTCCTTCACTAATTTATTTGACAAATATTTACTGAACGCCCAGGTGTTACTCTGGACCTTCCCGTCTATACATTGATTATTAGGACTCAACTAGGAGGAAAATGCTCAGATTTTCAAAAGAGCGGGTTTCAAAAAGACAGGATCTAAACTATTTCAGTGTTTACCCTGTTTTGTTTCAGGGTACCATTCTGACTTTTAAAGGTGATTATTTTGCATCATTCTTGAATTATTCGCGTCATCATCAATGACATCCTTCTACTTGAGGTCTCTGCAACCATTATGGAGGTCTCTGATCTGCCAGGCTCTGTTTACTAGTAAGGACATCGGCTTAAGGAGAGAAAGGTACTTTATTTGGTGAGGAAAACAATGGAGAGTCAACTCTTTCCTCAGAAGACAGAGGTGTCAGCCCCTCTGTAGGTGAGGCCCAGGTGAGCCCCCAATCTCCTGCTAGGAGATTTCTCCCAGCACCGCCTGCTGCCTCTCCAGTGCCTGCTCCCTCCTGGCAGTGGTGAAGGAGGCCGCGTGGTTCCACATAGACCACACGTGGCTGCCAGCCAAAGAGACTCACCAGTAGCCTTCGGCAGTAACCGAACCTTCGGCTCCCATCTTCTCCGGTCAAGACAAATGAGAAGGTCTCACTGTGGTTGGGAAAACAAAATGCATTACAGAGCCAAGCGAGACAGCTTCAGGCTGCTGGGCCTCTGGGCACCCACAGCTTCGATGACTGCACTGGGGGAGTGGGTGTGGCCTGCACCCCAAACTCTCATGTGACTCTATCCCCAGGCTGCACACAACACCACAGCCAGGTGCGGGCAGGTGGCCGGGACGGACCGGTGAAGGCGCAGGTGAAGCGGGCACAGTTCTGTTTCACTCTGAGCTGCTCCAGACGCTCTCCTGGGGCACTATCCACCCTGAGGCCTGGGCTGTCTTCGAAGACCTCAGGATGACTTCAAGGAACACAGTGACCCTTGTTCACACAGGCTACGCAGCCTGCTGAGTTTCGTCAACGGCTGAGACGTCTGGAAGTGAAAGTGGTGCTGACAGCCTAAGCTACCACAGGAGTGCAAACCCAGCGGAGTCTGAGTTTGTGGTAGGCTGGTGAAGGAAGGTTTCTGGAGCGCTGGACAAGAAAGGGTGACAGGCAGTGCTTCCCTCAGACTTACCTCCATGCCCCTCACGAAGGCTCACCTGAAAAACACATTCCCAACTGAGTGGGAGGCCTGGTCATCTACACACTCAGCGAGATGATTCTTACCTAGGGCTACAGGCCAGAGGTGTTGGGGGGAAGGGGCAGTGAGAGCATTCACCAGAGACAGAGTGGGGAGCAGAACAGGTGGACTGACTGAAACACACCGCTGAGGGGAGCAGAGGTAGAGACAGGAGAGGTCTGCCGCGCCATGGGGGTCACCTCCCATGTGGGATCGGACTTGAGCCACAGCTGTGGCAGTGCTGAGACTTAACCCCGAGGCCCCAGGGAAGTGTTAAAACACCAGGGCAAAGAAATCTCTAGGTGCAGACCCATCAGAATAGCTTAGCAGTAGCAGTGAATTCTGGGGCCTGCCAACTGTGACCCCATCTTTAGTTTTCACAAAGGTCTTCCGGGTGGGGGAGGGAAGCTGTGGCACACACCTGGTAAACTGCTGGACAGGAGTCCAGTCCTTGGCATCAGGGAAACAGAACTGGGGGATCGCCTTCAGCTGGTCCTCAGCCTCTCTCATGAACTTGAAAGACCTTTCCAGCTGCAGGGAGAAGGGCGAGAGGGTGGGAGAGGGAGGCGGGTGCTGGGGAAGGCCAGGCCTCGCACCTTCCCACCCAGGGGACTCTCACTTCACTCCTCCCGTGGAAGCTTCCAGCTCAGTCTGCTAAGGCTCTGACTCCTGACCACAGCCATAGAGGGGGAGCCAGGAGAACAGACCATGTGCTTCAGAGAAGTGGTCTCTGCCTAACATTCTGGAATATGGAATATGGCTCTTCACCAGTAAGGAGAAAGTCTGCAGCCCCTCCCACAGGACTCGGGTGTCTACAAGCTCATGTCTGTCAGCCTGTGGACCCGGCAAAGCTGCCTCCTTCCAGGCAGAGTTTTTAATACTACTTTTTAGCAACTATATCTAGTTAAGGGAAATAAGGAATAAACAAGTCTTATTCCTCGTTTATAAGGAATCAAGCCCTGACATCTGAAGAGACCACACAGCCAGTGTGGACCCTCGCTAAGAATAAAAATGATCCTCTCCCCCCTCCTCCCACAAAGATTTAAAAAAATTTTAATTCCTTTTTTAATTGTATTATTTTTTATTAAGGTAACAAAGCTTTACAACACTATTCCCACCTCTTCAGATGTCTGTCACCCACCATACACCCCACCAAACCACCCACAATTTTCCACCACGGCCTCTGGGCCCCTCCCACGTGGCTCCCTCCTCCGTCCCCCTCTGGAAGCATCAAATCTACGGTCAGATTTCTAGGGTTTGTTTTGGTTGAGTTTTAAGAATGATCTTGATCATTTTTTTGGTCTTTCTCTGATTTACCTGACACACATAGACTGAATGAGTATCATCATCTTAAAAAAAAAATAAACTATTAAAGTCTGATTTAGAGATTATATTTAAAGCTGTGAATTTGCTTACTTTGTGAGTGAGCAGGAATCCGGACTTGTCAAAAGCACCCCTCCCGGGGGCCAAACTGTATCTGACATGTTCTGTGCACCTCAGAGAGGGCAGGAAGGTGCTTCTGCTTTATGAGGTGGTGGGGCATGGGTGAGCTAGCACTCTACGTGTTAAGTTTGGGAAACAAAAGCCAGTAATTTATAATTAGCACAATTTGCTTACAAATTAATAATTCCGGGGCTCTCCCTGGTGGTGCCGGACTGTGAAGCTGGCTGCAGCTGCCTCAGTGTGAGTTCGATCCCCGGCCAGGGAGCTGACCCATACGGCGCGGCAGACCTCTCCTGACCC